CACTGGTGTGCAGAGGTGTTCACTGGTGTAAAGAGGTGTTCACTGGTGTACAGAGATGTTCACTGGTGTTGGCACACAAACACACCTCACTCCACCACGGTGGTAGGGCTCCACATGTGACCTGGTGGGTCAGACCACAACAAGGTGGCCACACGAGGCCTCAACCAAGCTCCGAATCACACCAATATTTATACTCTTATTTCGAGACTAAGTTAACTCATATTTTACTTATATCAACTAACAATGCAATATACGTATGGTATGTTTATTAAATATTTACCAGTACTAAGTCAAATATGTAAATTAATCACTTTTTTTATAAATACTGTTGATTCGAAGTATTGTTTAGGCTTCATATTTGTCAACAAATCGTGATGCCAACGTAAGATAATTAATTTAGATACGATTATTTTAACATTAATTCAATTTTAACACTTTTCCAGGTTTATATATATATTTTTTTTGTTAACAAATTTAGGTATACGAAAACGGCCAAATTGACATACTGACACTATTATAAATTTTTTTTATTTATCTGAGACAGAGTGATGTGACATCACTTGTCTTTTGTCGCGTTCAATATATTGCCATGTTGCGTTGACATTCCTCATGGCGACGCTAATAATTATGATAATTGTAACATCAAGATATAAATTAATAAGATATCAACATGGCAATGACTATAAACAGCATGAGGAATTAACACATGGCCTCCAGGACAAGCATGTAGCTTTATTACATAATGCATTTTTTCCTGTGTGTGTGTGTGCAGGGAGCGGCAGCATGGCCATGTGCGACTACAGTGGCTACGGCAGCGTGGGCGTGGCGGCGGCCTGGAAGGGGTCCAGCGGGGGTGTGGGAAGCGCCACGCCCCCCTACCTCGCCCACTTCACCCCCACCACCTCCCCGACCCCCATGTGCACCTCCCTACCTCCAGGTCGGTTGCTTCACGGACAAGAAAATGGTTACTCTATTCCCCCCCCCCCATGTTGCACGGACCCGGTGGGTGAGTCCTCATGGAAGTCCTTGAGAACTCCATAGTTCTTGAGCTGGTAGTGTACCCCATTCCCATGCTGTGAGTGGTAGGTAATAGACTGCATACATTATGGCTTTTTCTAGTTTGGCTGTGTCACATCCACTCGATTTAACGACCTATATGGGTGGGAGGACTAGTTAAATATGACCCTGCTCATTAAATTCAGGACTCTGCTAAACCCGGCATTAAAATGGTAAATTTGTAAATCATATTCAAGAAGGCAACTTGTCAGTGATTGTATAGCTGATATAGTTACTATAGTGTGTATATTATATAGTACGGTATATAGTGTATAGTTACTGATGCCAAATTCAGCCGTTATAACTGCACACCCTAATAAATCAATAATTTATTTATTAGTGTGCGGTATTATGCAGATACTAAGGATCTATGTATTACATAGATATGTGTATTACATAGTAATACATTACTATCTATGTATTACATTACTATGCTTACTTAAAGAGTCATGAGAATTATTGAGGTATTCACCAGCTTGGCATACACCGCTGATGTTATCATGTTTGTATATGTCACAGGAGTTAGGTTAGAGGCAAGGTATGAAGAAAGCCGACACAAAACGGTTCCACAAAACTGGCTATGATTGTGAAAACCGTATATATCCCGTGGATAAAATATACACGAGTAACGTTAACTGAATGTTGAATTAACGTTACTTAACGTTAATTCAATGATAAATTAACGTTACAAATTAATAGTTTGCTCACTGGGTTGTTATGTTAGGATGTGTTAGCCGAGGTTAGGCTGTTTGGGACTTATTTGTGTTAGATTAGGTTGGTTTAAAAATATGTTGTGTACTTGTAAGGTAAGGCAAAAAAAGGCATTTACTAGGAGAAAGCTCAAGGCCAGTATGCCTCTCTAGCACACGAAAGGCTTAAGAGCTGGAATATAAGGACGGAATTAAGGAACGATTTTCAACCAGTTGGACCATCGGAGATGGAACCCCAATTCTGCATTTGTGAAAGTTTGGAGATCAATGTCTTGCAAGAATTCCCATCACATAAATCTTTCCATGAATAATCAAATAATCATGAATTCAAAATAAAATTACTTACAACTGATAGCATATATTAAATAAGATAGCATATTCAATATTATTAACACCAATAATACTTAAATGGAATATTTCTCTGCTACACTAGTTATGATAGGATAAGCTCGTTTAAATGTAGCAAAAATCTATTTTTTTATAAGACTTAGTGCAATAAACATATTTTTCACCATGAACTAATTATCCTTCGTATCCTGCAGGCCTGGGCGGAGCATATGGCGGAGGGATGAGCGGAGCAGCCCAGATGGGCGGAGCATACATGGGTTCCTCCCTGGCCAACCTACGCCTCCGTGCCCACGAGTACTCCCTCCACCAGGGGCAGGTGTGAACCCCTGCCCCTGCCATACACGAACACACACACACACACAGTGGCAGTGTTGCTAATCAATCATGTGTTCAATACAGGTGTACAATATGAGCTCGGTGTTCCCTACAGTTGGGCAGGAAACAATAGCGGTGCCAGAGAGCCTGATTAGGTGCCCCACAGAACATAAAATGAGACATTTATGTTCTGTATGCCTTTATCGACGCAGGGCGGACGCCATTGCTAGGCTTCATCACGGTGCTTCAGAAACATCATGAACACTGCTAAACCTGCAATATCGATTTAGTCACCTGTATTCTATGATCACTACACCATCAACATTTGTTATTATTCATAGATATTTTCAGATGTGTGGCTTGGGTATCTATTCTTAGATACAGTGAAGAATGGTATAATTTTGAAAGAACAAATCTAGGCACTGAACTGCCTCGTACCTAGCCAAGGGCGCAACAACACTTAAGCAATCAGCTGCTGGCAGAACACTCCAGTTGTAGAGTCGTGCTCAGAGTTCCATCAGAGGTACAGAACTACCGCCTCTATGTGTTTCCTAGGATGAGCAACACACCGTGATGTGATTTATATTAATGTGTGTGTGGTGTTCCATGACACAGTAACTGATGAGAAGAGAGGGAGCTGCCGTTCCGGTGTTCTAAACATATCGAAAGTTGAACATGTATGTTATTCGTGCACTCAAACATGTGTAGTGCAAAGGTGACACTAACGAGTGGTAGAGTTAAGAGTGAAGAGTGATTATCAACCTGACTGCAAATTATAGCATGTGTGATGTGGCATCGAATATGAAAATTACATGACCTATAGACTTATTCATAAAAAACGTGGTTGAACCTGGCCATGTGCTTATATGAAGCGGAAAAAGTGCCATTATATAGCTTAAACAAAAACAAGTAATACTGTAAACTTGTTAAAAATAAACAAATTACTTATAAACATGAATATGAGATACAATATACTGTTAATCTGGTCCCTCCATAAACCGTGTTTTTCGTTGCCATACAAAACCCAAAAGTAAGAGCGTCCCTCCAAACCTGAGTACAACCTGGATTCATGCTGACAAAATACTTTTATCACACAAAATTAGATAACAATTAATTCCACAAACTGAAAATGAGATAACAATTAATTCCACAAACTGATCTCTAGAGGACTAAACTGACCCCTGGATATTTCTTAATTCGTGTGTTTTAAGTCAATTTCCTGAGGCTCTGTTGTCACGTGGAGTAGTAGTGATGCATAGAAAAAAACATATCTAATTTTGATCTTCAAGGTGCATGCCCCTCCACAAAAAAATAAAGTTATAAGTTCTTAATTCTAGGTTCCGAAAGCTACGTTCCATTTTGTTTTTCTATGATGGGAGCTACTGCTTGCTCTCATGAATATAAGTCAGCTCGACAGTGTAATGTAGACACTTGTGAAGTTCAGCTGTGATGAATCTGATCGTGTACTTGATGATATCAAGCTGATACACATCATCGCGTGGCGTACCCCAAGTGCGTCACGGTTGGAATTATGAGTGTAAGACTGTGTTGTGTAGCCATGTACCGTCCAGTAAGAGTGAAACATCAACTCTAGTAACTTATCACCCAAGCTAGAGTCGACAATGGGAGTGACTGTGGCAAAGTTACCATGGCAACACCCCTCAAACTGGTTACTGAGGTCAGTGATGGGGTGAATGAGTCAATGTGGGAATGGCATGGTTTACAGGCGATTCAACAATGTTAATGTCTTACACGTGCAGCTTTTCACCTTCACTGTATCAAAATCAAAATCAAAATCTATGTAATATAATTGAATCACTGGTCAAATGTTGTCCATTAGGAGTGAATCATTTTCTTACTGGCTGTCATGAAAAAAATATATATTGTGGACCAGAACCTTTTTCTTTCAGTGTCCTTATTTGTATTGGAAGATTTCAGGTTAGATAATTGATATCCCCCGTCAATGAAATAACTAAAGACTGTTGTTAGCATCAAAGGTACTAACTACTAAAAATGACTACCACTGTCAAAGGAATAATTTAGAACTGCCGTCATTGCCAAATGAATAATTCAAAACTGCTATCACTGTCAAAGAATAATTTAGAACGGCTATCACTGTCAAAGAATAATTGAGAACGGCTATCACTGTCAAAGAATAATTGAGAACGGCTATCACTGTCAAAGAATAATTCTGAACAGCTATCACTGTCAAAAGGATAATTCAGAACGGCTATCACTGTCAAAAGAATAATTCAGAACGGCTATCACTGTCAAGGAATAATTCTGAACAGCTATCACTGTCAAAAGAATAATTTTCAGAACGGCTATCACTGTCAAAAGAATAATTCAGAACGGCATCACTGCCAAAATTACGATTTTGGAGTTACATTATTTTACAAGATGGTTAGGTCAGTTCACGCTTCAGGTCAAACATTGTATAATATTGATCTGAAGCGTGTGACAAAGACTCTGTGCACGTAAATACAATATATATACTGTATATTTAATTGCTAGTGGGACCAAAAACATGAATATCACAACCTGTCCTCTCGAATTTTGACATATAACTCTCCAGCGGCCAAAATATGATGTACTATAAATTCATAGCTGCTCGCAAAATTGATGAGCTGCCATGTTTTATATTCGCGGGTCCTCGGTTACTTAAGGTTCGACACCATTTTTCTTACATGTGACAATTCGCGAGGACGCCCTGCCTATCCACCGGAAAATATGATATTTCATCATTTTACTTACTAACAAACGATCAAAATGTTTCCTGTTTAAAGTTATATATAATGAGCCGCCTGCATTTATACAGTTTCTTAAAAAGCTGGTGTAGAAGTTACACACACAAGGTCAACAAACAAACACCTCTGATTTTTTATTTGTACTGATGGAAAAAACATCCACAAGAGATAACAAAAAATTAGATTGATCATCAGCAAACTTTAACTCTGTTATGACAGCAATTCCAACATAATATCCAGCTAGAGGCATTTCTCCTAACTAGTTGCTTGATCGTTACAAGGGCCTGTCATCCCAGTACACACCTTTCTCATTCTTAACTTGTATTATCTAACAATCATCTCGATATTCATGACAAAGATGGACTGGACAGTACAGTACTTTACTTCTGGGATTTCGCCAAAGCAAACAGAAAGTAGGTCATTTTTCCCTCCGGACATCATCTAACTCCTCCTACCTGGACATTTCCCATCCGGACATTGGGAAATGGATCCCAATTGCCTGTGAGCTATCTGTGGGCAAGAAGTAGAGGGCCTCAAGCCTCAAACGCAATGTCTGAGTGGATTCTGTTGAGCCACGACTCGCGGCCCCAGACGTTGGAGTGAATCCTCACCTGCAGTCTCACTTGATCCTCGAAGTTCAAGTTCGGGTAAAACTTAAGACCTGTGATCTTCTCCACGTCTTGGACCGTAGCACTGAATTCCTGGGCGAATCTTTCTGCACTCTGTGGAAAAATATAATGCTAGACAAAACATGGGAATTCTTACGTTGTACACAATTACCTCTTACCGCCCCTGTATATTATTCTTAACATACCAAAAATAATTAATTTATCTAAGTATTGCATTAAGATATTGCAAACATAAATAGATTTTTTGTTTAGAAAGACAAGTTACATATTAATAAATTGCAAGAAAAAGCAAATATCCAATACCTACTGAAAAAATCTCAATCTAAAGTGATGAGAATTACTGTTTTTTGTTAATAAAATGTTAATGAAAGACAATTTTTTTATTACAATCTTTAAGCTCTCAAAAATTAAATATTATCATAGAATAGAAAGATTAAGTCGTGTTTTAAGATAACATCAGACTTTGTAGAAAAACTACTAACACTGGCCACAGGAATTAAAAACTGGAAATTCACCAAGAAGTTTGAAAATAAATATAAGCTATGCTGGAAAATCACCAGCTAAAAAGTTAAGAAAGACTTTAAACTTCAAGCAACAGAAAACTTACCCTGCCTAAGGCAACTCTGATGACATTTAAAGAAGAAAATAAGATCTCAAGACTTGACAAGACAAGATTCACAATCAAAAAAGGAAAAACTCTGCCAACAGTTAGAGACAGCAAAGGTCTGAGGCTTTACCAAAGACTCTACATCCCGGACAACGGGAACCCAAGACTCACCAGACAGTTGGAGACAGCGAGGCTCTGAGGGTACACGAAGGTCTCCACATCCCGGACAACAGGAACCCAAGACTCACCAGACAGTTGGAGACAGCGAGGCTCTGAGGGTACACGAAGGACTCCACATCCCGGACAACGGGAACCCAAGACTCACCAGACAGTTGGAGACAGCGAGGCTCTGAGGGTACACGAAGGACTCTACATCCCGGACAACGGGAACCCAAGACTCACCAGACAGTTGGAGACAGCGAGGCTCTGAGGGTACACGAAGGACTCCACATCCCGGACAACGGGAACCCAAGACTCACCAGACAGTTGGAGACAGCGAGGCTCTGAGGGTACACGAAGGACTCCACATCCCGGACAACGGGAACCCAAGACTCACCAGACAGTTGGAGACAGCGAGACTCTGAGGGAACACGAAGGCGAGAGCGTCGAGGTGGTCGTGGGGACACTGGGAGACGTGGCTGACCAACACTGAGCACCGACTCACCACAAGGAACATGTGGGTCGGGACCATCACCTCTCCACCACCAGGGCTGTAACACACACAGATTTTTTTTTGGGGGGGGGGGGTGAAGACAACTAGTGTAATTCATAGTTAACAATCACAATCATATTACTGTAACAGTAATCTGACTACCATTTATATGGAATCAAAATAAAATCAGACTGTAATTGTATATCAAAAGCTTTTATCTGAGCATGACACACAATCCAACAGAACCTTGATGCCATGGACTGGTTCATATAGTCAGGGCAGATCCTGTTGATGCCATGGACTAGATCATATACTCAGGGCAGGTCCTGTTGATGCCATGGATTGGATCATACATTCGGCAGGTTGACATCTTGCACTTGTACATTATAATCTCAAATGTAGCTGCCAGGTTAAACTGGTGCAAAGAAGATGCTGGAGGAGAATACCGAATTCACAGTTTTTGTCTAAGCAGGTAAAGCATTGGGAAGGAGGTCAAACTGAGCCAATCTAGGTTGGTCTCCAGTAGCTGAAGTCCCAGAAGAACTAGCTTGGTGAGTCTGGTGAGAGTCCTGGGAGTCAGATTCAGTCCAAAAGTTGTAGGTGTGATTGATCTGGACCCCCCCCCCCTCAGCCAATCTTAGAGTCTCGGGGATATGCTAACAGGCGTCCTGGATGTCTCGAGATACGACCCAAAAGTGATTTACAACTTAGCAACCCATCCTGCTGTTTAGATAGTCCTTATCGTGACGGTCGCAAATAGTCACGAATTCGTACGCACTTAGCTTTTAGATAGTAGTATACTGACTAGTAAGGAATTCTTTTAAAATAAATGAAGCTAAAAAATAAACTTAAATATTCCTAGGCCTAGTATAGCACACACATGTACTATATTAGGTCTCAGATATGGTGTATCTGAGGTTAGGTTAGGTTAATTACCTTGGTTAGGTTAGGTATCCTAAGAAGGTTAGGCTTGGTAGTTTGTCAAAGAAACACAAGTAAAAAAAAAAAACGGAAAATACAAATGTTCCAGTTTGTCCAACTCAACAGTGCCAATATCTACTTTCTAACTGCGTTGTACGTCGGTATATATACCACGGTCCTCATTGTTACTATAAGTACTACCAATACAAGAGGATGGGCTGAGTCTAGTCTCCGTGGTCCTTCAGCAGGGGATGTGGGATTCAACAAGCTAAGGGTTATTCTCCTCTTGGTTATTTCTCCTCACCAGAGAGATCAGACGGGACAGGAGGCAGTAACTTGAGCACATTCATTGAATCACCCCATGTTCTAGCATATAGTAAGCATTATAACAGTTTTCTTTTCTTAAGCTACCTTTAGGGAGCCGGTCGGCCGAGCGGACAGCACGCTGGACTTGTGATCCTGTGGTCCTGGGTTCGATCCCAGGCGCCGGCGAGAAATAATGGGCAGTTTCTTTCACCCTATGCCCCTGTTACCTAGCAGTAAAATAGGTACTTGGGTGTTAGTCAGTTGTCACGGGCGGCTTCCTGGGGGTGGAGGGCTGGTCGAGGACCGGGCCGCGGGGACACTAAAAAGCCCCGAAATCATCTCAAGATAACCTCAAGATAAGAACCCCCCCCAAAATTCTTTTATCTACGCAATCATAATCGCCAGTTTTATACTTTCAAATCTGAATTTTAAGTAACAAGCTCCTTGAACAGCAATATGTGAAGTTTGTTTGTTTCCTCATACCGCATCTACATTCATACAAGGTACAAAGGAAATGGGTAGTTGGTGTACCTAATAGTGCGGAGGTCGTCAGCGAAGGTGTCGGTGTCGTAGTCGAACACGGGTCCCGTGATGACGTTGAGGGTCCTGTACCTATATGACCATTGTTTGACCAACTTGAGCAGCTCCTGCCAGCGCTGCGTCAGGAAGTTGGTGAAGGGGACGGCGTTGGTGATGAGGTAGGGCAGCTGCTCGCAGTCTTCTCTTGAACTGAACTCTGAAGTTAAGAATAACATCATCATCATCTTTTAAGACATTCCTGCTAATGCATTAATTTAAGATGTTAAACAATTTTTTTTTTAGATTAGCAGCTAAGGATTATTTTGTTTGACACTCGAGAGGTTTTACCGCATTAATTTATGATATTAATTAAATATATTTAAGACAAGTATGGGCTCAATGGTAAATTAATTTACTAATAATATTTTACAAATAAAAAAAGACTTTATTGCAAAAGTTACTTTATTTAGTATTTATGTATTCATTTATTTACAGGAAAGTATCATGGATTATTTGTTTAAATTTTGGTAAGAATCATGGAAGATGCAGTACATTCTCGCGAAACCACTAACGCTTATTCTGCAAGTCCTATAGGCTTACTTGTATGCCATAGTTTAGTACGTTCTCCACACACATCTTGAGGTTATCTTGAGATGATTTCGGGGCTTTTAGTGTCCCCGCGGCCCAGTCCTTGACCAGGCCTCCACCCCCAGGAAGCAGCCCGTGACAGCTGACTAATACCCAGGTACCTATTTTACTGCTTCCTTACACATAGACCTACATGTACGGCAAAATTTAGCAGGTCCTACATACATAGGCATATTTGTAGGCCATAACTATACAGGTGTTACACATAAAGACCAAATTTCATACACATCAATATTCTTTCTCCCTCACGGCTAGTCAACAACATAACAGTGTTTTTACAGGAAACTTGGGCTCGTGTACAGGTTCCCAAGCCAAATGAGAATCTATCTGCATCTGAGGCTGCATATAGTCTGCCTCCACCATTTCACTTCTTAGTGCATTCCATCTATTGATTTACGCTGACACTGAACAGACTATTTGTAATGTCTGTGCTTCATTCAGTTACATAGTGTGTCCTTGTGACCTCTTGTTTATGCATCATTCATGGTAAATAGTCCTCGTTTTTACCTGTCTATTTTGTATGTATTGATCATGTCTTCCATTATTCTTCTCTCTTCTAGTGACGTGAAGTTAAATTCCTTTAGTCTTTCCACATAATTCCTTTCTATCAGCACTGCGACTTCGTTTTGTGTTAGACGACATAAGGATTTCATGCTGGAGCTGCATATTCCAGACATAATCTGACGTATGCAATATACAATTTTAATGTTGACCAATTGATGTTAATATATTTAGGTATTCTCAAAACATGTTGCAGAAGAAATAAATCACTTATAAATAAATAACACGGAGATAAAACTCTAGAATGTTATTCCCAGTAGAGACTACTGGGATAACTGTTTCTACTGAATTTGATTCCCTGTGTTGTGATGTCCAAGCCCGAATGTCTTCATGAAAAGCGTCTACTTACCTTACCTGAAAACCTTACTAACTTCATTTAAAACTTTGATACACAAAGTCAACACACTGTAAAGTTCTTTGTACTTAAGTTTTATCCAACGAATTTAGAAACAAATTTAATTAAATTCACCAAAGGGCCACCATCTGTAGTGGCATGGAAAGGGGGACAGGAAACCGGCAGGTTGGCAACAAAAAAAAATGGTTACTCGTTATTGCTGAGGAATTTTTTGCAGGTGAATTTTACAGTGAAGTAACGTGTTCTTATTTACAGCTTTGATAGGGAGACACTTCCATGGGTTTATTATTCTATTTGTTTCTGCCTCACTTCTCTGACCTCAACCTTCCAAACCTCTAGTTCTGGGACAGGAGTCATCAAGGTATGTACCAACATTCCATGATGTGCACCTTACTTTAATTATGACTCGCTGTCTTCTGTATTAATTTAGCAGTTTACGAACTACGACTCTTACTGGCTATTCATGCCCGTGCCACCTCTTGGTTGGCTTAATCTTCATCAATCAATCAGTTACAAATCGCAATGGGGGTCATCCTGACGCCAAGGTTACCAGTGCTATGAAAGACCTTGTAGCGCTTCGAAGTATGCAAACTGTTAAATAAATATATAAACTTTGCCGCCCAAATCGAGATTAAGATGTACAAGTCTCTTAGTTGGTACGTAAGTGCTCGAGGAACCCTGGCCTCTGCTCGGTGATACACATTAAGATCTTCAAGTCGACTCACCAGGTGGGAAGAGTGGCTGAGGGGAGATCTTAAGGGTAGTCATTGATTGATAGGTTTGGCAGGAGAGTCTCTGGTCTATCCTCAGCCTTGCGTCGCTTCTCCAAGGGGAAGATTCACGGTTCACAGTCTCTCTATTGGTTTGGTTCAGGTTGAAGCTTGTCCACAGCGGCATCTTCACCAGGGAAGAGTAAGCTGGAAAAAAAACATAGTTTACCAACAGAGGAATAACTGGTGCACATACAGAACTCTATTGAGAACAGAACCGAGAAGATAACAATATTTATTTTGTATTATTCATTAACATAAGTAAGCCATGAAATTAGTTGGTCGGGGTTGTAGATGAGAGAAGTTCTCATTATTCTCACACATTATTTTGACCTTTGTATAAGCAGTGATCAATGCTTCACTTTCACAACAGCCAAATGAGCATGTAAAATTTATGTTTAAAAAATATGAGTGCTCATTCATGACTTGTTGTAATATTTGAAGGTATTTTAATGTCTTGTCAAAGGTTTTATACTTACCTGAATTTACTCGAGGGCCGCCAGCTCTAGTGGCCTCGAGTGAGACAGAAAGCCGGCAACTTGTCAAAGGTTCCCCCATGGTTAACGAGAACTTTTTCCAGTTGAATCAAACAAGAGTAAAGTCTTAGCAATCACGACTTTGTCAGGTAGGTGATTGCATGGATCTTATCGTTCTGGTGAAAAGTATCTCCTGTTTTGTCCTACACTGTATCTTGTTGAGCTTGAAGATATTACTCTCTTGTATTCGTTAAACTGGATCTTTTATAAGAAGTGGTTTGAGACCAGGGAACGAGGACTGGCACCGTAAGGTCATTTACAGCTGGGTATTAGAAGGCTAAAATAGAAAAAGGTCAGTGATTTCGCAGTTAATATAGGATATTGGAGTCCTTCATAACTTGAATTATTGGACTTAGTTGCCTTCATTGTTTTATTAAAGCTTCAACAGAAGCTTCCTGAAAGCCGATCTGTCTCCTCACATTTGCAAACATCCGGCAATATACCAAAGCATTCAAATAAGATTTCACTGTCAAAGTCCCTCACTCGATATCTACATTGTGATATAATATTTCAGTTTTTTATAACGGGGAAAATTCCAAATAGCTTACCTGAGTCTCACACCATAAAAGACTCAAATCGTTTTTATTGTTGGCTGTTTTGCCCAATTTACACCTGGTGACTTAAAATAGATTATTACAACTTTACTATTGTATTTTTGCTATACAATGCATAAATTCCTGTCTTACCACTGACAAAATCCGGCTGCACCAAGAGGAGACTGCTTTCTCTAGCTCTCCCCATCTGAGGAACACCCCAAGGCAGGTGCTTGATTAAAATCTCTGGAGCCTCCTTCCGTGCCCCCTGCAGTACCTTAAGCTCCTCTCCATGCATGAGGAGGTCGCCCTCACACATGATGGGTTCATACGGTTCCTGAAGCTCTACAGGTACTTCTGCTATAGCAGGCGGAGCCTCCTGGAAATATAGATAATGGTATAAACCGTTCAGGCAGAATAATTAAATTTTTTTACACTTTAATACATGCTATGAGAATGTACATAGACTACGTAATAAAAAAGTTATTGAAGTAGGCTCAAAGGAATGGTTGTATGTTATATTTTTCAAATGACACATATACATGTGTTTACTAATAAAACCTTAAAAATATACACATGACTCAGAAGCAAGCTTCACCTCTCAGCATGGAGGACCTACCTGAAGTGTGGAGTATGGTGGTGGGGGAGGGTTGGCCAGCAGGTGATGAAGGGCGCCCCAGGTACCGTTGTTGGGAGCAGGCTTCACCCCCAGCATGGAGGACCTACCTGAAGTGTGGAGTATGGTGGTGGGGGAGGGTTGGCCAGCAGGTGATGAAGGGCGCCCCAGGTACCGTTGTTGGGAGCAGGCTTCACCCCCAGCATGGAGGACCTACCTGAAGTGTGGAGTATGGTGGTGGCGGAGGGTTGGCCAGCAGGTGATGAAGGGCGCCCCAGGTACCGTTGTTGGGAGCAGGCTTCACCCCCAGCATGGAGGACCTACCTGAAGTGTGGAGTATGGTGGTGGCGGAGGGTTGGCCAGCAGGTGATGAAGGGCGCCCCAGGTACCGTTGTTGGGAGCAGGCTTCACCCCCAGCAGGACACACATCAGGTTATAGAGCTCAGTGTTCTGGAAAGGCTCCACCTCAACGTTACGCCGGAACTCTGGACCGTGAGCCACGAAAATCGCCTTGGTGGATAAAGATGTAAAGGGTTTAACAAGGGAATATTAATAGTGCTAAATATATACACAAAATAAAAAACAAACAATGGACTAGTGTCTTCGCGAGCAGTCCTCTATATCTTTCTTGGATAAATTCTAAGCAAGGCATTAAAGTGAGTAAGTTTCAGTTTAATGAAACATTTCATTAAACTGAGAAAGTGTGGACTCTTACGTTCATGGATGAGAAATAGTTGTCGTAGCCGTGGTCTCCACCATAAGTTGTGTACTTGTTGTCTTTGGCCACCTGGAAGCCATCGTCCAGGTCAAACACAATGTCCTCCACTCTCCGCTGCTGCCCGATGTGCCACCTGTTGAAACACTCACGTTAGTCAGGTCATTCTTGAAGGACCGCCATGTTTAGTACGACCATAACTTCTGACATGACAGGTCTGATAACGATATGGTTACTGGGATGCTGTGATTACTGGAAACCATGTTTATAATGGTTATGATTTATAATGGTTATAAACCACGTTCAATTGAGTTTTGTGTTAGTTTCAAGCATTTACTATCAACACTTACATAATGGGCTACCTTGATCTTCTTGAGGCACAGGAACTCAGGAACTGGGCTGAGGAACTGTACCCCACTATTCCTTTACATACACAAGTGACAACACTTATGAACTAGTTTTAAAGTTTGTTAACTTATATATTAGGTCTATTTACATTTTTTGGCTTAATTTAATTAACTGAAGGATACAGTCACATAATGGATTAAGGAACTGGACCCCAATGTTATAAAGGCTATGTTTAATGTGTACATGATTACTGTGAAACATCATATATATTTCCAGTGCTTTGTAGGTGAGGCGTGAAGTCATTACTCTGGTGCAAGACACATTTAAGGGATCCTTGCACACCATCAAAACCTTTGCCAATGTCAGTCAATCACGATTCTATGTAACTATTTTGAATTCATTTAGAGACTCTATCTCCTATCTAACACTATATGAAACTATTTTCTTCGTAATATTATTGTAACAAAAAAAAATAAAAAGGTTTATTTAGTTTTGGAACAGAACTAACAAGCAACGAGAAAGGCTAGGTTATGTTAGCTCAAGGTTCACTCCTTCAGTACACTCGCCGCTTCATTGATCTCCTAATTAATTATGCCTCTCTGATCACACAAAACAACTACTGTATAACTATTGTGCATGAAAAGAATTTGCATTTATACCTGTAAACAGGTAATATTATTAGGAACATAACCACAAAAACGTGAGAATTAGGAAGCATCACAGACGGCCTCTTGATCCATGATTGGAGGTTCTCATTAAAATTCACTTCATCTTACTCATATACTTATCGGATCTGTACTACTACCCAAAACTTCTCAGAATTATGTAAATAAGATAAGATAAGATAAGATAAGATAAGATAAGATAAGATATTTATTCAGGTAAAGGTACATACATTGAAAATGAGTTACAAACATAATGTGGGATTAATATAGAGCTAGTACATACAATGCCTGATGCCACTAATACGCACAGCGTTTCGGGCAATAAAGAGGAAATTAATCTATTTCCTAACTATAATGTTGGTACTACCTGTAGAACATGAATAAACAAAATTGTACTCGTAAATAAGCTCATTTTATAGCAGAATAAGACCAAAATGGGAGACTGTGGCACCAAAGTAAGTCGGCCAGGCACTCAGATCGTCAACTGTCTTCGGCATCCTTCTCCGCTTATTTTTGCCTCATTTCCTTATGTTATGAGCATATTTCCAAGTATGTATAGTGACAGTCTGCATTCATTATCAATACTAGAGGAAGGAAATATTTCATATTTCCTCTTCATTTTCGTAATTTTAAGATGTACTGGGTAGTTTCCAAGAAGTCTTTGGTAATTCTACTGGATGATCTAAACTATTCTTAAAACTTGTTCAACTGTTTGTCTCAATAATACTAACTGGCAACCCATTCCACAACCCTATTATTTTTGTTATTGTTATCATTATTATTCACGCATTCTTACCTGACTGGAAGAGTTGACTTGTCATACACTCGCATTTCTGGCCTCTTGCATGACAGTGCATCCAGCATCTCCTCCTTGGTCTCTGTGGAGAGCAGAGGCAGTGTGGAGTTAATGGTTGCCACAGGATTTGGACGCGCATCTCCTGGTTATCTTAGTGTCTAAGACTCTTGGAGATGGTCGGAACAAGTGATTTTTATGCTTTGTTAGTCGCACAACCTTACCTGGTTAGAAACTCGACCTTATCTGGTTAGACACTCAACCTTATCTGGTTAGACACTCAACCTTATCTAGTTAGAAACTCAACCTTATCTAGTTAGAAACTCATCCTTATCTAGTTAGACACTCAACCTTATCTAGTTAGAAACTCATCCTTATCTAGTTAGACACTCAACCTTACCTGGTTAGACACTCAACCTTATCTAGTTAAAAACTCAACCTTATCTAGTTAGAAACTCATCCTTATCTAGTTAGACACTCAACCTTATCTAGTTAGAAACTCATCCTTATCTAGTTAGACACTCAACCTTATCTAGTTAGAAACCCAACCTTATCTAGTTAGAAACTCAACCTTATCTGGTTAGAAACTCAACCTTATCTAGTTAGAAACTCATCCTTATCTGGTTAGAAACTCAACCTTATCTGGTTAGACACTCAACCTTGCCCATTCAGACACAAAACCTTACCTGGTGAGCCGTCAAGAGGCGTCATCCTCCCGAAGACGCCGCCCCAGAACCTGGTCCTGGCGTCAAGGTTGGGGACATAATGGTCGATGCGAATGACCCTCTCGAGCGCTGTCTCCGCCATCCCGTGGTCGGCCAGCACCACCAGGTTGACGCACGAGAGCAGGTTCCTGGCCCCCAGACCCTCCACCAGGAGCTTCACCACTGCGTCTATGTGGGAGAGTGTTTCGTCCACCTGTTGAGCAAAGATAACATCATGGTAACTTATAGCTGGTGAGACTTGGTAAGCTTGAAGCAAAGATAACATCACGGTAGCTAGACGATTTAGAAAGGGCACATTCCCTTTTGTTTTCACCAAGCAGTAAAATAGGTACCCGGGAGAGTGGCAGCATTTGTGGATTGAATCCTGGGTAAAGTCAGTATCTGACTTCAGCGAACCTGGGTAAGGCTAACTACAGGCTTCCTGTCCCCCTACCATTGGGAATTATGTTATGTAAACATTATACCTGGGGTGCCTTAGGACCATATACGTGGGCCACTTCGTCAGGTTGATGCATGTACAGCGCGATGAAGGCTGGTCGTTCTGCTGGTGGCAAGTCCAACCACGCCAGGACCTGCAGGAGGAAGATAAACACCTGTGAACTGGCACACCAGAAATAATTATGAAGAGAGCCAAGCCAGTATGGCTATACATCACATGGAAGAGATAATGGGGTCAGGATAGGGGCTGGGATAAGGAGGGAGATTCCCTACCACTTGCGCCATCGGGGATCGATCCCCGACCTGCAGAAAGTGAACCCGGTGTGTACCGACCAGTTCATGAGGGATACCAGAGGATGAATCAATTACATGGTCACAAAAACTTGTATTGCCAGAAACTAATTATTAGTAAATACATCTCAAAGTTTATGTACTTTCATAATTTATCTCGGAAAATATTTTAGACATATTCCTTTCAGAGCAATTATACTCTTCAAACTAATATAACGTAAATAAAATAAAATTACTCGTCCTATTGCCCAACACTTTATTGATGAATTTGTTTGTTCAGAATCCTATGAAAATAAATATGATAATACAATTTGTAAAACTGTATTCAAAGAGCACATTATTTACTGCAATAACCATCAGTTACATTCCATACTGGGCTAGTGAAGAAAAATATTAGTACAACCTGGGCTTCCGCTCCTCTAGGGTGCTTCATCTGGCCCACCTGCTCCTCTAAGATGCTTCACCTGGGCCACTCACTCCTCTAAGATGTCTCACCTGGGCCACTCACTCCTCTAAGATGTCTCACCTGGGCCACTCACTCCACTAAGATGTCTCACCTGGGCCACTCACTCCTCTAAGATGTCTCACCTGGGCCACTCACTCCTCTAAGATGCTTCACCTGGGCCACTCACTCTTCTAAGATGTCTCACCTGGGCCACCCGCTCCTCAAAGGGAAGAGAGGCGTTGTACTTGATACAGTAAGTAGGCTGGTTGCCCTCCACCTCGGAGCCGGCCCAGAAGTAAGAGGCCGCCAGCTTGCCCTGTGAGTGAAGGGTCTGTGAGATCAAGGTATGCTGGCTTACACTCACTCATCTCACCTCCAATATTTATGCCATTCACAAATGTTTATGAATTATAAAATAAAGTTGTGACATTGAGAGAGTGGCGAGAATGGGTAACTGCGTATGCCTACCCACAATATCATAGGTATAACACTACTATTCTCCATCAGTTCTGTCATACATTCGCAGGCCAACATTAGACTGAATCCACATGAAACGGACTCAGGCGCTACCATTAACAATTTTGTCGTATCTGACTTTCTCCTTCACCGTAAGTTAGTTACTTAGCCTCGAGCGATGACTCGCCATTAAGTGACAAACCACAATACAGACAAATAAAATTACTGATATACTGATATATGTATCAAACACACACAAAATCCAACAAATAATAATATTAAACTACAAATTAACATAAATCTGAAATCAATTATCACTACCTAATTCCATTTCAAATCATTCCTATTACTACCAATTCCATTATGACACCAATTAACCTGCATCTCGACGGTCTTCCAAATAGGTTCACCCCCCCACCACCAGGGCTTCAAGCTTCCAGGACGACCCACGCGGAACTCCCTACCAAGCGTCGGGTCGTAGAACTTGTTGTCCACGACCCCATGGACCGGAGGGTAGAGTCCCTGTGGAGGTGTGGGAAACCTGTCAAGGTGGATCTATCCTGCCAAACACACCACGAACAAGTTTTAACACCTCCTAACAAATTGTAACAACTAAAATATAGCAGGTTGTAACAACGTTATAAAAAATGGTTATAAATACATTATAAAACGTTTTTATAAAACGTTATAAAACGTCATAACATTATAAAAAGATGTAACAACTTTATTACAAGTTGTAACAAGCTGAAAAAAGGTGGTTACGTTTTTGTGTGTGTGTGTGTGTGCTGAGAGGTTGAGGTGAGATGCTTCTGAAGTTGAAAAAATTGACAATGACAATTGACAATAAGAATGACAACAGGTAGAGGTGTATACTTATGGTGACCATGATGCAGTGGTTGTATATGGTGGTGTATACTCAGTGACCATGGTGTAGTGGTTGTATATGGTGTATACTCACGGTGACTATGGTGTAGTGGTTGGGGAAGGTTATGGTGGGGTAGGAAGGCTTGATGTATGGTGCCCGGACGCCGCTGGCACCCAAGGCCTCGATGGTCGGCGTCCTCCCGCGGAGAATATAGTCGGCGCGGAATCCATCCACCGACACCAAAATCTGTGAGAGTGAGTCTTGTTCACCCCATAACCACAACGGCTTCTCCATAAATCTTATAAATCAGGTTTACTGACCCAGATACAACAGTAAATTATAAACATATCCAAAGTTATATATAATTATTTACAGTAGCTCTATATATTCATACGAAAGAAAAACTGCATCAGTGTGTATGACTAAGGTGGACTCAGATGAGAGGTGGGTAGGGAGGGTGGAATACTCACCAGTGGGTGGTTGCTGAGGAAGGTGGGCGGGCAGGACTCAGGTGAGAGGTGGGCGGGGAGGGTGGGCGTCAGTCTGGCAACTCTCACCCACACCACAGCTATCAGTAGCAGTGTCTGAAGGGGGGGAAAGGGCAACATAATAACTTGGCCTACTTAGGTTCACAATATTTTATCTGATGTGCCCAATTCCATCCCCCTGAAATGATAGTACTTATACTATTTGATCGTAAGGACCAATATGTAGTCATGGACCACCAGTAAACCACTCTTTCTATTTTTAAATGTCTACTTCGGAAAAATAAGGCTAAAAACCAAACTTAATATTTGTTTAGACTTAGTATAGCTTATATATGTACTATATTAAGCCAAATACTGAGTGTGTTAGGCTTAGGATTTCTAGGAGAGGTTGATGTGGTCTTATTTTTGTTGCGGTTAAAAAGTTACATGTTTGGCCATACTGTATTCAGTAATACTAGTCAGCTTTCTGCTGGTCCTTCACTATATATTGGTACTTCCCACCAAATCATTTCCACTACTTCATTTTAGCAGACTGGGCTGGTTGTGCCAGTTGAAGTGACTGGTACTGTGCTAAAGGCCTACAAACCTCTGGAAGGTTATGAAGGCCTACCAACCTCTGGCGGGTTATTAAAGCCAACACAATACCTTACCTACCAAGCAGCAAACGTTCTTTAACTAGAATAATCCAGGATACATCTACAGCGAGCTGATGAGGTGAATCTGGCTTGTTCACCGGCACGCCTTCAATACCCGGGACCTTCACTACACAGGATCGTCACTACACAGGACCTTCACTACACAGTAGTTTCACTGCACACAATTTTCTTCACACAGCATCTTCACTACACAGAACCTTCACTACACAGGATCTTCACCGCACACGATCTTTATTACACAGGATTTTCACTACACAGGATTTTTACTACACAGGATGTTCACCACACAGGATGTTCACCACATAGGAACTTTACACGATTTTCACCACACAGGATCTTCACTACACAGGATCTTCACCGAGAGGGCCTCGCGGCAAAGTGGACAGCGCTCGGGAGTCGTAGTCCTAAGGGCCTGGGTTCGATTTCCGGCCGAGGCGGAAACTAATGGGCAGTTTCTTTCACCCTTGATGTTTCTGTTCACCTAGCAGTAAATACGTACCTGGGAGTTAGACAGCTGCTACGGGCTACTTCCTGGGTGTGTGTGTGTGTGTGTGTGTGTGTGTGTGTGTGTGTGTGTGTGTGTGTGTGTGTGTGTGTGTGTGTGTGTGTGTGTGTGTGTGTGTGTGTGTGTGTGTGTATGTGTGTGTGTGTGTGTGTGTGTGTGTGTGTGTGTGTGTGTGTGTGTGTGTGTGTGTGTGTGTGTGTGTGTGTGTGTGTGTGTGTGTGTGTGTGTATAGAGAGTGTGTGTGTGTGTGTGTGTGTGTGTGTGTATAGAGAGAAATATATGTAACAGGCATAAAAGAGAAAAAATAAAATTGGTACCAAAGGCGGGGTCCAAGAGCTAATAGTTCCATTCTGCAGAAACAAATAGTAAATACAAATCATCTTTACTACACACAATTTTCACCACAATTGGTCTTCACTGTACACAGGTTTTCACCACACAATTCATAGTATATATATATATATAATTTCCTATATAAAAGGGTTCTATATTATTATTATTATCATTCACAAGGGAACATACCTTGATAAGCATCTGGGAGGTGCATATATATATATTATATATATATATATATATATATATTATATATATATATATATATATATATATATATATATATATTCTATATATTCACTTGTAACTTGTAACTCACTTGTAACACTTATATGCTGTGCTTCCTATTTTAACCTGCTATGTTAAATGGGATTCTTGTATTGTGATTTGTGTATTTGTACTCACTGAATTTGTGCGCCCCTTGAGGGACTTGAAGTAGAGGGGGGGGGGGGTAGAAATAGCCTAAGCTACTCTATCCCTTTGAGATGTATTTTTTTATTGTCTCAATAAACATACTTGAACTTGAAGTGGACTTTAATGTTTTTTCGGCAGCTTTATTTCCTTAGTTTCCGAGCTGTTTTCTTTACCGTGTATGTTGTAATAAACTATTCCTATATTTACAGTTGTTTCTCCCTGTGAAGATTATTAAACAATGGTGATTATAAGGGCGCGGAAGTTCAGCCTGGCCAGGGCCGCCAGCAGCCCTTGGGCCCGCCCCGGCAGCACCCAGTCTTTAATTTGGCACCTTTGTGGCACCTTTGTGGGACCTTGGTATAAGCCTAACATGTATATATACACTGGCTGCCTGTCCCCCTACACAATGATTTATTATTACCTATTATTTTATCATTTAATTTAAATATTAAATAAAATAATTTATTTAATTATTATAGTAAGTACTTAATAATTTAATAATAAGTAGTAAGTACATAAAAATGATTAAAAAGTACAGTTTAGTCATAGGAGATTCCTAGATTGGAATTCACTACCAAATTTCAATATATCCAAGTATTTTTAGTGTGAAATGCTGTTATTATATGCATAAATTGTTGTTTTAATAATATTACGCTTAACCACTTGGGCTGGACGGTAGAGCGACGGTCTCGTTTCCTACAGGTCCGCGTTCAATCCCCGACCGCCCAAGAGGTTGGGCACCATTCCTTTCCCCCGTTCCATCCCAAATCCGTATCCTGATCCCTTCCGAGTGCTATATAGTCGTAATGGCTTGGCGCTTTCACTTGATAGTTCCCCCACCCCCCTGAATAATATTACGAGAGCAGTATTTACGGGCTATTCATGCCCGTGCCACCTCTTGGGTGGCTTAATCTTCATCAATCGAGAGCAGTACGTCCTAACCAGACGTTATATGATGATATCCTGAACAGTTGATAAATAAAAGTAATTGCGGAACTCCAGTTATCTAATACTTATCATAAATGGTATAAAACCTTATCATAAGCCAAGGGATTTGTAGATCAGTGTTTAAAGGGAATTCGGAAGTAATAATAACACAGCTGATGCCATCTGTCGGCAGAAGAGAACACTATCAACTGGCTGGTCAACAGTGGCCATAAGATACAGCTTACGCCATCTGTTGACATCAAATTACACTTATAACAAATTACCCCACAAAATACAACTAACGCCATCTCTTTTTTTTCCAACGCACTATAAATAGCCAAACAGCAACCCATAAGGCGGGTTGTTGTGCTCGGGTAGGAGGTTCCAAGCTCCGCCCACAAGTGGTATGGGGTGCATAATAAATGGCATATCATTGGTAGATATTCTTTGTTGACATTCACACAACAGCCAATCACAGGAAGGGATCAGCTAAAGGCTCCATCCACTTAATAAATCATCTTTATTCAGCACACCATCCTTGCTTATGACATTCTGCTTCAACTTTAATCTAACTAAAAAGTGAAATGTTAACTATTTAAAATTAGTAATATAGTGATAATTAAATACTGTAGGATGTAATGGGTGTTACAGAAACATGGGCTGGCTACCTGACTTGTGACGTTATTATTGGGGGTTGCCTTGACACAAATAATGATGCTGCTCTGCCCTCTTATTGGAGTAAATTATTCAGTTAGATGGAGATTTCTGTCAGGTGCAAAACTGAAATTGTTGTTCTTCTTCACAACAACCTTGTTGTTGTGTACAAGGACCTATTTCTTCGTTAAAATTTTATTCATAAAAGAGTGTTGGTATTCCCCGCAACAGCCAATCACAGGAAGGTATTTCTGGAAGCTCGGCCTCCTTATAGACTCAGCACATCGCTCTAGCTCATGGCTCTCTGTTTCATCTCTTGTATATACAAACTATGACTTTTTCGATTACTGTTATAATTAATAATAAGAGATATAAAAGTTTTTACACAAAATGGCTAAATTCTGCCATTAAATGGACTTTGTCTGGTATACATACAAACATACACCAATTTATTACCATTCATCCATTATTAATTTCAAATGTAATGTATACTGTCTAGTTTTTTTCCTGTCGCCATTACTTGGTGCAATATTTGAAAATTGTCTATTTATTTATCGATCTATTTATTATCTTGTATTTATATTTACAAGTTTCTGTGCTTGGAAGAAAACTCTGCATTGAATTGGAACTAATTTATTAAATAATATTATTTAGTATTAATTAATATTTACAATTATTATTAATTACAATTATTTATAGCTTAGTTACTTTTATGTAACTCGCAATCGTACATTCTTAACTTTAATAGCCCAAATTAGCACATCTTGCTTTTAAATTAGCCCAAAAAGTAGCAAGTAGCGAAATTAAAAATTTGGGAGCGCGGGGCTCTCAAAAGTAGCCCAATTCGCTATTTGTAGCCCAATCTGGCAACACTGAGAGTAGCCCAATTTTTTTTTAGTGAATGATACGGGTTTCAAAGTAATATATTTTGATATACAGAGTACACTACGCGATGTTAATTGTGTACATGAACACCCAAATCACGGAACTATTTACTCTACCCACCATGAGAGTAAGGACAAGACAAGAACATATCGATGCCAACACAGAAGACAATGTCCAACATAATAGGCCAATTACACTGGATTAATCTTTGTGTTTAGATAGGAGATGCCTCGTATGGGCCAATAAGCCTTCTGCAGCCTCAATGTTTCACCTCACATTTATCCCTTATGTATCCCCCCATGTTTTCACCTCTATTGTATTATCACCTGACCCAGTGCGGGTATGAAATCAACTAATATATATATATATGCGAACAAGCCTGAATGGTCCCCAGGACAATATGCAACTGAAAACTCACACCCCAGAAGTGACTCGAACCCATACTCCCAGGAGCCACGCAACTGGTATGTACAAGACGCCTTAATCCACTTGACCATCACGACCGGACATAATGAGGTGATAGCCGAGGCTATTTGAACCACCCCACCGCCGGCACTCGGATAGTAATCTTGGGCATAGCATTTTACCAAATCACGTCATTCTTTGGGGCACACGTGAGGAACACAAATGCGAACAAGCCTGAATGGTCCCCAGGACAATATGCAACTGAAAACTCACACCCCAGAAGTGACTCGAACCCATACTCCCAGGAGCCACGCAACTGGTATGTACAAGACGCCTTAATCCACTTGACCATCACGACCGGACATAATGAGGTGATAGCCGAGGCTATTTGAACCACCCCACCGCCGGCACTCGGATAGTAATCTTGGGCATAGCATTTTACCAAATCACCTCATTCTTTGGGGCACACGTGAGGAACACAAATGCGAACAAGCCTGAATGGTCCCCAGGACAATATGCAACTGAAAACTCACACCCCAGAAGTGACTCGAACCCATACTCCCATAGTCACTTCTGGGGTGTGAGTTTTCAGTTGCATATTGTCCTGGGGACCATTCAGGCTTGTTCGCATTTGTGTTCCTCACGTGTGCCCCAAAGAATGAGGTGATTTGGTAAAATGCTATGCCCAAGATTACTATCCGAGTGCCGGCGGTGGGGTGGTTCAAATAGCCTCGGCTATCACCTCATTATGTCCGGTCGTGATGGTCAAGTGGATTAAGGCGTCTTGTACATACCAGTTGCGTGGCTCCTGGGAGTATGGGTTCGAGTCACTTCTGGGGTGTGAGTTTTCAGTTGCATATTGTCCTGGGGACCATTCAGGCTTGTTCGCATTTGTGTTCCTCACGTGTGCCCCAAAGAATGAGGTGATTTGGTAAAATGCTATGCCCAAGATTACTATCCGAGTGCCGGCGGTGGGGTGGTTCAAATAGCCTCGGCTATCACCTCATTATGTCCGGTCGTGATGGTCAAGTGGATTAAGGCGTCTTGTACATACCAGTTGCGTGGCTCCTGGGAGTATGGGTTCGAGTCACTTCTGGGGTGTGAGTTTTCAGTTGCATATTGTCCTGGGGACCATTCAGGCTTGTTCGCATTTGTGTTCCTCACGTGTGCCCCAAAGAATGAGGTGATTTGGTAAAATGCTATGCCCAAGATTACTATCCGAGTGCCGGCGGTGGGGTGGTTCAAATAGCCTCGGCTATCACCTCATTATGTCCGGTCGTGATGGTCAAGTGGATTAACGCGTCTTGTACATACCAGTTGCGTTGCTCCTGGGAGTATGGGTTCGAGTCACTTCTGGGGTGTGAGTTTTCAGTTATATATATATATATATATATATATATATATATATATATATATATATATATATATATATATATATATATTGGTGTATACTGGCAGCAGATTTTCTTTTAAATATGTCTAATTGAATATGACCGCATATTCAGTATTTACTATTTTCTGGTTTAGGGCGTCTATCCCTCTAACTATTTTCCTAGCATCAGGGCTTAGCTGAAAGAGGAGTTCTCCAAAACTCATTTTCGTTATTTTAAGGTGAAGAAAAAAGTGTATTACTATAGAATGTTTTACACTTATTTATACAATTTGCACAACGTTTCGAACCTCCATGGTTCATTCTCAAGTGAAATTAAATTACAGGACTCGTTGATTTATACCCGTACGGGGTCAAGTGATAAAGGTAAAACGAAGGGGGATAAATGGGAGGACGAAGCACATAAGAACATAAGAATAAAGGTAACTGCAGAAGGCCCATTGGCCCATACGAGGCAGCTCCTATTATACAAAGATTAATCAGGTGTAATTGGCCTGTTATGTTGAACAGTGTTTTCTGTGTTGGC